GATCTGCCCGCCTTGGCCTCCCAAAGTGCTGAGATTACAGGCATGAGCCACCGTGCCTGGCCTAAACTGGGTAATTTTATGACCCCCACTAATGGATGACAACCTCAAGTTTTAAAACAATTACTAGAAGAGGGGCTCGGTGGGGGGGGTGGGGGGGGATAAAAAAATCAACTAGGCCAGGTGCGGTGGCTTACACCTGTAATCCTAGCAATTTGGGAGGTGGTAGGATTGCTTGAGGCAAGACCAACCTGGCCAATAAACCTAGCAAAACCCTGTCTCTATTAAAAAACAACAGCAACGACTAACTAGCTCATGAATAAGATCCTTGAGTTCCCTTTGCCTCTCCTTCCACCCAGGGCATACAATATGCAACCACTCCAACAATTACTTGCTAAATTAAACTGAAAAAGGGGTCACAAACTCAGGAGTCTGGGTGAGTAATATCATTGATTGAAAAGGGAGGGGTAAAAGAAGAATAGCCCAAGTGTGATGATAAATGGTATGTGACCCTCAGCCTCTGTGTCTGGGACACAATAGGGGAGTGGTGGGGACCTTAGGCAACCAAAGAACACAAGCCCTGTCTAAAGGAGACAGCTGCTATTCAACTCCAGACAATTGCTGCCAGTTTGAATGCCCAGTGTTGCCAGATATTTTGAATTTAGGACAAGTGGCAATTTAAGATATTTTTGTACAACATCCCAAATTTTCAATATTGGCAACTCACTTTTAAAACCGTAATATGTCAGTATATGCCAAGAAAATACATCTGCCAGATGTGGACCTTGGCCTGCCAATTAGCAGCTTCTAAATTAAAATTAACTTCCCAGGGAATCAAATTGAACTGACTAAATTTCAGAGAGACTATGTGTCACTCTGTAGCTTTTTTTTTTTTCCTTTGAGATGGAGTCTTGCTCTGTCACCAGACTGGAGTGCAGTTACAGGATCTCAACTCACTGCAACCTCCGCCTCACGGGTTCAAGCAGTTCCCCTGCCTCAGCCTCAGGCACATACCACCATGCCCGGCTAATTGTTTGTATTTTAGTAGAGAAGGGATTTTTTTTTTTGAGACAGAGTCCCACTTTGTTGCCCAGGCCAGAGTGTAATTGTGCAGTCTCAGCTCACTGCAACCTCTGACTCCCGGGTTCAAGCAATTATCTTGTCTCAGCCTCCTGAGTAGCTGGGATTACAGGCAACCGCCACCACGCTCAGCTATTTTTTTTTTTTTTTTGTATTTTTAATAGACAGGGTGTTTCACCATGTTGGCCAGGCTGGTCTCAAACTCGTGACCTCAGGTGATCTGTCTGCCTTGGCCTCCCAAAGTCCTGGGATCACAGGCGTAAGCTACGGTGCCCAGCCTGTAGAGACGGGATTTCACTACATTGGCCAGGATGTTCTCAGTCTCCTGACCTTGTGATCCACCCTCCTTGGCCTCCCAGAGTCCTGGGATTACAGGTGTGAGCCACCAGGCGCCTGTAACATTTTTTTGGTTTTTTTTTGAGACGGAGTTTCGCTCTTGTTGCACAGGCTGGAATGCAATGGTGTGATCTCAGCTCACTGCAACCTCTGCCTCCCAGGTTCAAGTGATTCTCCTACCTCAGCCTCCCTAGTAGCTGGGATTACAAGCATGTGCCACCATGCCTGGCTAATTTTGTATTTTTAGTAGAGATGGTGTTTCTCCATGTTGGTCAGGCTGGTCTCAAGCTCCCGACCTCAGGTGATTCGCCTGCCTCTGCCTCCAAAAGTACTGGGATTACAGGCGTAAGCCACTACGCACAGCCAGACCTGTAGCTTTTTTATTGTAGTTTGAAGCAAGGATATAGAAGGAAAAGATTCTTTGCCTTGCCTGGAATTTTCCTGTCTTAAAAGACTGATTATTTCCACCTGTTCCCAGTCACTCAGTTCCTTATCAGCTCTGTCCAGAGGGGCCTGTTGAGACCACCAAAGCTAAAATGTTACTTTCTTTGAACACTGCATTTTAGCATCTTAGCAAGACAGGTTTACTTACCTTGTTTACTAGACTTCACAGTATTGGTGAATATATAAAAAATCATTTGTCGGCTGGGCATGGTGGCTTATGCCTGTAATCCAAGCACTTCAGGAAGCCAAGGGAGGCAGATCACCTGAGGTTAGAAGTTCGAGACCAGCCTGACCAACATGGTGAAACCCCGACTCTACTAAAAATACAAAAATTAGCCAGGTGTGGTGGTACATGCCTCTAATCCCAGCTACTCAGGAGGCTGAGGCATGACAATCACTTGAAACCAGGAGGTGGAGGTTGCAGTGAGCCGAAATCATGCCACTGCACTCCAGCCTGGGCAACAGAGCAAGACTCTGTCTCAAAATAAATAATAAACAATAAATAAAATTTTTTTAAAAAATCATTTTTCTTAAGTAGGTAACCACACTTCCCCAAAACCAGTTTCTGTCTTTACATCTGCTGAAGAAATCAAATTGAGGAACTATTTTCTTGGATAACTTCAAAGAAACAATACAAAATTTCTTGCCCTGGAGTGTGTATGAAAGGGTGATGCATCTATGCGAGTTAACTGGGGCCAATTATGACCAGCCTGACTTGTCATGGCGCCACATCTTGCTTACTCTCAGACAGGGGATGTGCCCCCACCTTCTCCCTGCCTAACTTGCTTGCTCACGGAGCTCACCATTTTGCAAGCACGGTGCATGCCTGTCAACATATGATTATTCAAAATGGGAGGGGAATCTGGAATGCCTGAGTAGGCATTCAGCTCACAATTAAGCCCTGGCAAGATGTAATCACACACTGGGAAGGAAAAAAACACTTCTTCCTCACCACATGATAGAGACAGCAGCAGTTGAGAAGGGTGGTTACCTTTTTTCCCCTCGATTTTATCTTTTCCTACTTACATGCTAACCTTTTACCCAGAGCTCCCACCAAGGAGTCTGGATTTCTCATTTCATTCTAATGATGCTGCTGCTGCTCAGGGCTGGTGTCTTTCCAGCGTTGCAGAAGAGATTCTATTAAACGCACAAACACGCAGAAATTCATGGCCTTCCTTCTAAGGGTTCAGTCCGCCCTCCCTCAGCCTGTCCGGAATGGTAGAAGACGTCTACCCTTTAACTGCTTATATATACTCCAGCTGTCCCTCCTAAGATGCCATAGGACAACTCGCTTCAGCTCACCTTCACCTTTACAGTTGTCAGAAGTTCCACATGGGAGAGCGCGCACCATACTGAGCACAGGATACGCAGGATATGCAGAGGCAATTTGGCCCAAACACTAAACTTTAAGAATAGCAACGATTTGAGCCAGGCTTTACATACAGCATCATATTTAATCCCCCACACGAGCTCCATTTTATAGATAAGGAAACTGAGGTTTGGTGATGTCAAGCGTTTTGCATTAAATCAAGATCACACAGTAGGTAGCAGAACTGGGATGTAAACCCACCTAGTTTCATGGCTGCCTTAATGACTACAAATACCAGCATCCCTTGCCTTGCCCGCTGGCGCAAACGCACACTCTCAAGGGCCCAGTCTTAGCGGCTGGATCCTAAACCCAATCAGATACCGCTTCTCCCTTTCCCACGACCAATGGGAAGGCTGTTGCTAACACGCCTGCTATATTTTTAGCTTTCAGTGCTCTGGGAGCAAGTGGGTCGGCTGAGCCTCTCTGCCTGGTGGAGGATCTAGGGGAAAAGAGAGAAGGGGAGGGTAGGAGGAAAGGAGGAAAGGGAGGGTGCAGCGGGGCTGTGCGGGAGGGGGCGTGTGTGTGACGCTGTCACTCGCTGACGCACAAAGCAAGTAGTCCCTGGAGGTGCCCCCGGGGTTGTGGCGCTCAGAAGTGTGGGGGATGGGGGGCGCTCAGGCTCCCTCCCGCCTCCCTGTCCCGGTGGAGTTTGCCCTCCAGCCCGGCATGTTTCTATTGCATTCAGGGAAAGCGCATTTAAACCCCCCATGCTACCGGTGCTCTCCGCCCTTGCCAAAAAAAGCGATCAAGAAAAAAAAAAAGCACACTGGAAACTTTCGGATCTCGCCACCCAACGTGGGGTTGGCGGCTGCTGCTGGGCCGGAACCGTCTGGCATGACAAAAAAGGTGGGGGCGGGAGGGGAGAACTGGGAAATGGGCGATCTAAGGAGGGACCGGGGAGAAGACCTCACTCATAGTCCCCCGGGGGCTCCAAACTGCATCTTCTGGCACTCCTGTCCGCCTGTGACCGCAGAAGACGACCCGCCCTATCCCTGGTTCTGTGTCCCGCACAGTCACAAAGAGGCAGAGCAGCCCACGTGGCCAGAGCCGGGGCAGGGGGCCTCAGCGCGCGGGCCTGGCGCGCCCGGTCCCGGGTTTGCGGAGCCTCGCTCCACCACTCGAGGGGCCGTAGTGGGTGCGAGCCTTGCGCCCGTTGCACGGTCAGGGACCATCCCACGCCGGCAGGACTGACTAGAAGAAATGTGGTTCTCCCGCGTGCCCCACACTGGGGTCGCTGGCCAGAGAGAGCAAACAAGAGTTGGGAGAGGAGCTGCGCCCGCGCGCCCTCGCAGAGCCGGAGCCAGAGGCGGTGAGGGGAAGGTCCATTGTGGCGCTCGGCTCGTTTCACCGCCGTCGGCCTCATCCTCGCCTCCTCTTACTCCCGCACAGCGTGGCCCAGGCCCCAGAGTCCCCCTCGCCTTTCATTCGACGTTGAGTCCCCCGAGGAAGCACAAGGCGCTCGGAAGACTCAGGCCTGCCCGGAACGAGTCCGAAACGTTTCCGGAGCCCGCGTAGTCCCCTCGGCTCCCCCTCCCGTAGAGGCCGTAACTGGGGCGATGGGATCGCCGTGGACACGGCCAGACGCTCGGAGCAGGAGGGAAGGCCCCGGGAAACGGCTCGGGCAAACGTCCGAACCCTGGGCGCCGAGGCAGGTGCGGGGCGGACGACTCAGCGGGGGGTTCCGGAGGGCAAGGCGACGCCCTCCCCTCCCCGCGATATTCGTCCCCCAAACGCAACTAAAGGGAGAGTGCACTGTGCTCGGCCCGTGAGCAACCCGGCCCCAGGTCGCCCCCAGCCCTCACGTTGCGCCCCTGGAGAACACCTGACACGATGCGCACAAGTTCAGAGAGTGGTATGGGAATGAAGCAAAGGAGTGCGGCGCGGCGCTGTGACGGGGAGGGGACGGAGGGAACCCGCACGCAGGACCTGAGAGCACAGAAGGGCCGGGGAGCTAAGCCGCGCAGCACCAGCGAGCTGAGGCGCGGGGCTAGCTGGGAAGTAGTCCCGGCCGGGCCCCGGCCCCTCCCCTGCAGGGCGGAGGGACGCATCACGCAGGGGTGGGGAAGCCGGATCCGTGCGCAGGGTTGCTAAGGGTGAAACTTTTCATTGACTTTGCTCACTTCGGGCCGGGGCGCGGGAAGGTGCGGGTTGTTGGCGGAGGCAAGTCAGTGGCTCGGGCGACGCGGGGCCAGAAGGGCAGGACCGCCCGCCGGCGACAGCCCAGACCGTCTTCCGTTCCGCGACACGAACCACCCTCCGGTCCGCCATCCCCGCGTCGTAGCCGCTGGTCCGCCCGCTCGCCCGCCCTCCGGCCCCCAGCCGCAGAGCCCGACCTCGTAAGAGCTGAAAGAAATTCTTGAGAGTCATAGTCCATAGCCCCCTGCTTCGTCCCCCAACCCTCAACGACGAAAAGGACTTCGGCCCCCCGACCCGGCGGCGCCCGGGAAGGAAGGGAGAGCGACCTCCGCCCCGTGCTCAGGACCACCCTGGAGGGAGAAAGCCGCCCTGCGGCCGGCAGAGCGCCCCGCCGCCGCGGAGACCCGAGTGAGTGAGTTGGGGGGTGTGCGGGCGGGGGGCCAGCCCCGAGACCCAGCCGGCCGAACTGCCTCTCCCACCCCGCCCCACTCCCGCTTTGCTGGATTCTCCACGTTGCTGCCGCTCCCTCCCGCCTGGCCAGCATTTTCTTTCGCCATCCAGCTTCCCTCTAGATCCCACTTTCCTCTGCTCCTCTTCTCACGCCATCTCTGCTCCTGGGGTGCCCAAGAGCTCCCTTTTCTCCCAGTTCCAAGAGTGGCCCTCTCCTGGGTGGGGTGCATTTCCTCCCTTCCCCGCCTCCCCCAGTTCTTTATATCCCAGCTACTCGCTAGATCTTCCTTGTTCTTCAAAGAAACATAACTCCCCCCACTGTTAAATAAATCCGAGGAAGGAAGGGGATCCAGGCCTTGTTTTTCTGCTTCTTTTCCCGTGTGCAGGGAAGGGGGGTGGTAATTGTTAATAGGCTCTATTTCTGGCTCTGTGGAGCCTGAAGGGTGGAGGTTGGACACCCCCTTTGGCGAGGGGACAGGTTAGTGGAGATTGTCCTTGGGCCACTGAGCCAGAGTTCACCATTTCGGCTTGAGCTCTTTATATTCTTCAGTGTTTTAATGGAAAATTGGGCAGAAAAAGTACCCTTAGAGCAGTGCCAGTGAGTGGATTCTGCTTATCTTGGTAAGGTGCCTGCGAGGTGGGGCCCTATCCCCAAACTCCTTCGCCTCCTGTCCAGAGGATGAACTGTGCCCTTCACCACCAGAAATCTGGGAGGGGAAGGAGGGTGCAGAGAGGAGACATAGCCGTAAGGGCCTCTCCCTCCCCCAGGAGAAACCAGAACCCCTCACAGCAAGCTTCAACTTGGGACCGGTGGAGGCCTGTCTCTGGTGCTACTCCGTATCTAAACGGTCTTTTTCTCCTTCTTACCCACCCTACCCTGGGAATGGGTCCTTCAACTCTGATTTTCCGGCAGAAAAACAATCCTATTTCTTTCTTGGGCTTCTGCCCCCATTCCTCCGTGAAGCATAGGGGAAAGCAGCTTGTGTGGGAGGAAGGATTAAGGAGGTTTAACACCCAGTAGGGGAGCTTGCCGAAGATCTGGTAAGTCTGGTCGTAGAGCAGACCTTGCAATGGGAGGAGACACACAGAATTTTAGTATGAGAAGATGCTCAGGTGTCAGGTGTACAGCTTTTTCTTCTCTGCCTGGGAGCCTTTTCCTATTTCCCTCTCCCGGATCTGGTTACTCAGACTTGGATTAGAAATGGGGTGAGGCTTGGGCCCTGCTGGCCTTGGCCTGGCGCCTCCCCACAGCTTGACTGGAAATTTCTTTGGCCGAGAGGACGGGAGACTGGGTTTGATTCCTGCCTTTCCTTTCCTGGCTGTTGGGGCGCTGGAGCCGAGTCCGCTAGGCATTAAGTGAAAAAGACCCGTTTCCCTTTGAACCCACTGTCCATCCAGTAACCCCACACGGACCGCCCAGGCCCTGAAATTCAGATTGAGTGCGGGAAAGGGAATCGTGACCTTATCTAAGCCAGCCCACCCCTTTCACCCAGAAAAAGCTCATTAGAAGCAGATCCTAGTTTCAACAGTGATGGAAGACGATGAAGGGAAAGGTGGGAAAGTTAGGCTCTCGTAAAGCCTAGAGGATGTGGTGGGGCCATACAATACGGGGAGTAGGCCTTTGGGGTAGAATCTATATGAAATGTACTAGGCGATGGGAGGGGGGCGCCGGCCCGCCACAGCGCGCATGTGCATCGGAAACTTTTCCTGGGCTCTTCGACCCTCGGTCGGCTCCCCTTACCGGGCATGCGTATTGCGGCCACTTGGGCCTTCGCAAAGTACTCGGGGAAGTGTAGTGTGCAGAGAAAGTAGGTCACTCGCTACCGCCTGGTCCGGAGGCGTTCGAGGACTACAATTCCCAGAGTGCAGAGCGCGCCCTCACCGCTGGCCTCTCCGCCTACGTTTGGGTTGAGTCGAGTTTTCCTGGCTTCTCAGGAACATGGAGTACCCTAGAAAGGGTCTTCTTAGCCGAAAGGGTCCTTGTAGTCAGACCTAGAGTTGACCGGTCTATGTCTGGGGAAGATGATGTGAGACTGGGCGTGGTGGTGCAGTCAGTCGGCAGCAGTCCTAGAAGCCTTTCAATCCACACCCGCCCGTCTGGGCCGCTGCCTCTGGGACCAGTGAGTTGGGGCGGATCCCGTGTCTCACCGAGGAGAGGAGCTGCCTGCGTTTGGCTCTCACTCCCCGGGCATCCACCCGGTCTGTGACACCTACTGGCCCCTGCACGCTCAGTTGAGTCCTGTAGTCCGTCACTGTAGGACAGTTTGCACGTTTAAGACTTAGAGGTGTCTGAATATTTTTTTAGGTTTGGGGCTCAGTGGATTCCATCACCATTATCCCTCCTTTCCCTCTTTGAAACAGAATTTTCTTCCTAAAAAATCTTCCGGCCGGGTGCGATGGCTCACGCCTGTAATCCCAACACTTTGGGAGGCTGAGGCGGGCAGCGGATCACCTGAGGTTGGGAGTTCAAGACCAGCCTGACCAACATGGAGAAACCCCGCCTCTACTAAAAATACAAAATTAGCTGGGCGTGGTGGCGCATTCCTGTAATCCCAGTTACCCAGGACGCTGAGGCAGGAGAATCGCTTGAACCCGGGAGGCGGAGGTTGTAGTGAGCCGAGATCACGCCACTGCACTCCAGCGTGGGCAACAAGAGTGAAATTCCGTCTCAAAGCGGGTCACGAGGTCAGGAGTTCGAGACCACCCTGGCCAATATGGTGAAGCCCCGTCTGTACTAAAAATACAAAACTTAGCTGGGTGTGGTCCTGAGCGCCTATTATCCCAGCTACTCGGGAGGCTGAGGCAGGAGAGTTGGCTGAACCCGGGAGGCGGAGGTTGCAGTGAGCCAAGATGGCGCCATTGTACTCCAGGTCTGGGCTACAGAGCAAGACTCCGTCTCGGGGGCGGGGAGAGGGGGAAGCCAAAAGTCTTCCTTTGCTTCTGACATTAGAGCAGGCAGACCGCGGACGCGCGCGCGCACACACACACACACACACACACACACCCACCCCTTCCTCACATTTTTGTCAGAAGTTCTCTCTGGAATCACTGAGGCTTCTTTCGAGCTTCACGCCCTACTTTTTCCCTCGTCGTCTTTCTCCTAGGCACCTACTCTTTAAAACACAAGTCAGCACAAGGAATCAGAATCCAGGTTAACTTTGCTGCTGTTAGTAAACAAGTGAGGATAAGATTCTTAGTGAAATTGGACAGAATTTTGCTGTCATATTTGCCCTTTTTAATAGGTTGACAAAAGGGAGATTTTGCTGTTAAACACCTCACCATTTTTATTCTTCTTGCTCACTTTTTGGCCATTTGTGCCTACACTGGGGTTGGAAAAGATCTTAGCGTACTCTGCAGCCACTTAAGCGAATCCCTTTACTTGTTCACTTTATTGACAGGTAGTTATTTCTAAGGTTTCTAATTTTACTATAATATTATAATACGTAAATATTATGTATTATAAATATTATGTATTTATAATACATAATATTTTATATATAAGCACTAGAATTTGTTCGTAGCTTTTTTAAAAAATGAACAAACTCCTCTGAATGGCCACTCCTATCTTTAGCTAAAGACAAGCCAGCACCAGTGCTTTAATCCTCTGCTCCATAAGCTTCTTGCAGTCAAAATTAGAGCCTGAGCTGATAGAGCAGAAAATCTCATTCTGGTTGTCCATCATTTTTATAAGGTTCCACCCCACAGCCATCTGGTCCAGCCTGTTCTCTAATTAAAGAGGCAAAGGTGGCATTATATGCTTCCTTATTTGTGCGGCAACATCACTGAGGTATAAATTGGTGTGCAGCTTTAGTTGCTTATGCTGCAGAAAATGGTTAGCTAGGCAGGGCTGATGACAGTGGTTCTATTGTATTTTGGGGTGGGAGGCTTATTTCCCAATGACTTTGGCCTGCATTTAAAATGCTCCATTTTGAGGCCGAACTGTTCAGGAGTAGTTAACTTGGAAGGCAATTATGCAGCCAGGTTTGAGGAGGCCTAGAAAGGTGTAGAAGCCCTTTGCTCTCAGTGGAATACCAAGAGGTGCATTTTAAGAGGCCATGTGGTGCCTTGGGAGAAGTATCATATGTTGACCAGTCTGTTTTAGATTTCAGAAATACTTTGGAAACACTGTCTTTAACACCAGGTTCCATTCTAGGGAACCAGTATCAACTTTCCTCACAACTTTTTTTTTTTGAGGCAGAATCCCACTTTGTCGTTCAGACTGGAGTGCAGTGGCACGATCTCGGCTTACCGTAACCTCTGCCTCCCGGGTTCAAGTGATTCTCTTGCCTCAGCCTCCTGAGTAGTGGGATTATAGGCACCCGCCACCACGCCCGGCTAATTTTCATGGGTTTTTTTTTTTTTTTTTGAGACCAATCACTCTTTCGCGCAGGCTGGAGTGCAGTGGCGCGATCTTGGCTCACTGCAACCTCTGCCTCCCGGGTTCAAGCAATTCTCCTGCCTCAGCCTCCTGAGTAGCTGAGGTTATAGGCGCTTGCCACCACACCTGGCTAATTTTTTATTTTTAGTAAAGACAAGGTTTCACCATGTTGGTCAGGCTGGTCTCTAACTCCTGACCTTGTGATCTGCCCTCCTCAGCCTCACAAAGTGCTGGGATTACAGGCATGAGCCACCATGCCCAGCTAATACTTGTGTTTTTAGTAGAGACGGGGTTTCACCATGTTGGCCAGGCTGGTCTTGAATTCCTAGCCTCAAGTGATCCACCTGCCTCGGCCTCCTGAAGTGCTGGGATTACAGGTGTGAGCCACCACACCTGGCTCTTCACAACTTTTTAGTCTGCTCCTTGTTGGACACCTCTTGTTGGACACCTCTATGGACCGTGGCCCTTCAGACCTCGGGTTCCTGAGGAAAGGCCTATGGTTCTGTGGGCAGCTTTGTATCTGCTGATGAGCCTGAGCCTTAGTAACAGAAAAAGCCCTTTTTATTCTTTCTCTCTTTACTATTCTTACTTTTTTTTTTTTTTTTTTTTTTGAGGCGGAGTCTCGCTCTGTCGCCCAGGCTGGAGTGCAGTGGCCGATCTCAGCTCACTGCAAACTCCGCCTCCCGGGTTCCAACGATTCTCCTGCCTCAGCCTCCCGAGTAGCTGGGACTACAGGCGCCACCGCGCTAGTTTTTGTAATTTTTTAGTAGAGACGGGGTTTCACCGGGTTAGCCAGGATGGTCTCAATCTCCTGACCTTGTGATCCACCCGTCTCGGCCTCCCAAAGTGCTGGGATTACAGGCTTGAGCCACCGCGCCCCGACTTTTTTTTTTTTTTTTTGAGATAGAGTCTTGCTCTGTCACCCAGACTGGAGTGCAATGGCACGATCTCGGCTCACTGCAGCCTCCGCGTCCTGGGTTCAAGTGATTCTCCTGCCTCAGCCTCTGGAGTAGCTGGGACTACAGGTGCCCACCACCACGCCTGGCTAATTTTTGTATTTTTATAGAGACAGAGTTTCACCGTGTTAGGTAGGATGGTCTCAATCTTCTGACTCAGTGATCCGCCTGCCTCGGCCTCCCAAAGTGCTGGGATTACAGGCATGAGCCACCGTGCCCGGCCTCTAGTATTCTTACTTTTTATACCCAAAAGAGCCCTGAATTTGATCTGTATTGATCATTAATAGACATTTGAGACTGAGGCACGTGCATCACTTGAGCCCAGGAGTTCAAGAACAGCCTGGGCAACATGGTGAAACCGCATCTCTACATAAAAATACAAAAAAAAATGAGGCCGTATGCAGTGGCTCATGCCTGTAATCCCACCGGTTTGGGAGGCTGAAGCCAGTGGATCACTTGAGGCCAGGAGTTCAAGAGCAGCCTGACCAATGTGATGAAACCCCGTGTGTACTCAAAATACAAAAATTAGCCAGGTGTGGTAGTGGATGCCTGTAATCCCAGATACTCCGTAGGCTGAAGGGGGAGAATTGCTTGAACCCAGGAGGCAGAGGTTGCAGTGAGCCAAGATCACGCCACTGCACTCCAGCTTGGGTGACAAAATGAGACTCCATCTCACAAAAAAAAAAAAAAAAAAAAGCCGTGTGTGGTGGTGCATGCCTGTAGTCCCAGCTACTTGGAGGCTGAAGTGGGAGGATCACCTGAGCCCAGGGAGGTGGAGGCTGCAGTGAGCTGTGATCCTGCCACTGCACCCTAGCCTGGGTAACAGATTGAGACCCTGTCTCAAAAAAAGAAAAAGAAAAACATAGACATATGAAGAAACTTAGAGATGAAGTCTCTAAGGAAAAGGCTAGGATAAGAGGGAAACCAGGGTATTCTGAGTCCTGAGTGTTCTTGTGGAAGGTTTGGGAGAGGCATAGTTGTGGCACCTCTGCTGAGTCCCATGTTGTTCCTCAGACCTGAAATGAGAGTTAACTAGATTTAGCCACTGTCATGCTGCTCCAGATTGACCCAGTGAGTCTTCTCTGATACATTCACCCCAGAAATCTTTTTCTGAGGATTTAGTCCCCAAAATGCCCCTTAAGGCTTTGTGTGTTGGCTCATGCCTGTAATCCCAGCACTTTAGGAGACCAAGGCAGGCGAATCACTTTAGGTTAGGAGTTTGAGACCAGCCTGGCCAATATGGTGAAACCACATCTCCACTAAAAATACAAAAATTAGCCAGATGTGGTGGCAGGTGCCTATAGTCCCAGCCACTCGGGAGGCCGAGGCACGAGAATCACTTGAACCTGGGAGGTGGAGGTTGCAGTAAGCCAAGATCGTGCCACTGCAGTCCAGCCTGGGCAATAGAATGAGACTCAGTCTCAAAATACATACATATATACATACATACATACACTGCACTCCAGCCTGGGCGATAGAATGAGACCCAGTCTCAAAATATATACATACATACATACGGACTCAGTCTCAAAATATACACATACATACATACATATATACGGACTCAGTCTCAAAATATATACGTACATACATACATAAAGTAAAATTAAATTAAATTAAATGCCCCTTAAGAGCCATGGGCCCAGGCCTGAGAATTAAAGGGAAATGTGTTGGGGCAGGTGTTTAGGAAACTCAAAATCCCCAAGCCTGAAATTAGCACCTGGATACTTAAAGCTGGATCCAGAAAGGATTTGAATCAAAATCCAGCTCCGAGTCTTTCACAGGACAGAAGATGCCCTTGACAGTCCGTGGAGCAGTCATGTCTCTGTGTTTAGCTCAGCAGCACAGCTTTGCCCAGAGGTCTGGCTTGGAACATGTTCTGGTGCTGCCTCCCCTCAGAGGGCTCTTTCAGTTCAGTTTCTCCCCCAGCATGAGCCCCGGAGCTGCTCTTTTGGAGAAAATGAGATTAGGATCACTGGCTCTCAGGACCTCACAGATCATCTTCCTGAGACATGAGGCTGGCCCAGGCCGAGGGAATAAACCTTTTTGACCTCAGTGGGATCTGGCTGTGAGAGAATCCCAAAATAACAATCTCGTGTTTATCTTGGGCTGCCTTCTCTTCAGGGATCTCAAAACACTTGATAAATCTGATCTGCTGCCGAGGACAGGTGGTCAGACAGTCCCTGGGAGACTGAGTGATGATGGGTCCCTGCTGGAGGCTGCAGGGTGATGGAAAATTTCTTTCCTCTGCCACCCTCATCACTTACACTCTCACCAGAAACTTCTCTCTCCTTTTTTCTGCTTCCCTATGGCAGCCCCCAGGCAGCAGTTCCCTTGTTGGTCCACATCTCTGATTGTGACAGGTCTTGCCTTTTTCCTGGGGCTCATGCTCTTGTCTTATTCTTTTTTTTTTTTTTTTGAGACGGAGTTTCGCTCTTGTCGTCCAGGCTGGAGTGCAATGGTGCATCTCGGCTCACCGCAACCTCCACCTCCCGGGTTCAAGCGATTCTCCTACCTCAGCCTCCCAAGTAGCTGGGATTACAGGCATGCACCACCACGCTTGGCTAATTTTTCGTATTTTTAGTAGAGACAGGATTTCTCCATGTTGGTCAGGCTGGTCTCAAACTGCCGACCTCAGGTGATCCGCCCGCCTCGGCCTCCCAAAGTGCTAGGATTACAGGCATGAGCCACTGCACCTGGCCGGAGTTCTTAAATCAGTTCTGCAAACCCAGACTGAGCCAGACAGCATACACACCCATGGGGCCCATGATAACAGATGGATGTGACTGGAGTCCAGGCCCCCAGTGAAAAATTGGCAGTGCTCTTTCCTGTTCAGTGACCTGTATCCCTTTTCATTTAAGGAGGACAACCAAAGATTTTAAACTTACATCTTAGTCTGTGACAGTTTGGGGGCACGACTTCACCAAGATATTGCAGAGACAGCGAGAGCCTTCTCCACCTGATTTAGGGACTTGATTTTTTTTTTTTTTTTTTTTTTTTGAGACGGAGTCTTGCTCTGTAGCCCGGGCTGGAGTGCAGTGGCCGGATCTCAGCTCACTGCAAGCTCCGCCTCCCGGGTTCACGCCATTCTCCTGCCTCAGCCTCCCGAGTAGCTGGGACTACAGGCGCCCGCCACCTCGCCCGGCTAGTTTTTTGTATTTTTTTTTAGTAGAGACGGGGTTTCACCGTGTTAGCCAGGATGGTCTCGATCTCCTGACCTCGTGATCCGCCCGTCTCGGCCTCCCTAAGTGCTGGGATTACAGGCTTGAGCCACCGCGCCCGGCAGGGACTTGATTTTTTTAGTGTCATTCATACAGTGACCTGAATTCTCAAGATGGTGGAAAACACAGCTTCCTTATTTCTTTAGAATTACCTAAAAATAGTAGCTTTTTTTTTTTTTTTTTTTTGAAATGGAGTCTCGCTCTGTCGCCAGGCTGGAGTGCAGTGGTGTGATCTCGGCTCACTGCAACCTCTGCCTCCTGGGTTGAAGCGATTCTTCTGCCTCAGCCTCCCGAGTAGCTGGGACTCCAGGCATGCGCCACCATGCCCAGCTAATTTTTGTATTTTTAGTAGAGATGGGGCTTCACTATGTTGGCCAGGATGGTCTCAATCTCTTGACCTCGTGATCTACCTGTCTCGGCCTCCCAAAGTGCTGGGCTTACAGGCGTGAGCCACCATGCCCAGCCAACAGTAGCTAACTTTATCATTTACCTTTTAATTGCCAGGTGCATTGTGAGGCAGTTTATATCCTTGAACTAACAACTTCATGATGGCCTCATGTTACTAATGAGGAAACTAGGGCCCACAGTCAGACATTAGCCACTGGTGGGGCAGAAATAGGCTCTTGGTTCTAGTGTGATCCAAAGTTGGTGCTTTTCTGTCTATCCTTAGCTGTTGGTCACCACCAGCTTTCTGCATATTTTCTCATGATGCCTCTCATTTCCCAGAGCCATCTGGAGCCCGAGGCTGTACACGTGCCCTGTGCTGATTCTCTGCCTAGGAAAGGACCATGCAGCTAGAGATCAAAGTGGCCCTGAACTTCATCATCTCCTACTTGTACAACAAGCTGCCCCGGCGCCGGGCAGACCTGTTTGGGGAGGAGCTAGAGCGGCTTTTGAAAAATAAATATGAAGGCCACTGGTACCCTGAAAAACCCCTGAAGGGCTCTGGCTTCCGCTGTGTTCACATTGGGGAGATGGTGGACCCTGTGGTGGAGCTGGCCGCCAAGCGGAGTGGCCTGGCGGTGGAAGATGTGCGGGCCAATGTGCCTGAGGAGCTGAGTGTCTGGATTGATCCCTTTGAGGTGTCCTACCAGATTGGTGAGAAGGGAGCTGTGAAAGTGCTGTACCTGGATGATAGTGAGGGCTGTGGTGCCCCAGAGCTGGACAAGGAGATCAAGAGCAGCTTCAACCCTGACGCCCAGGTGTTTGTGCCCATTGGCAGCCAGGACAGCTCCCTGTCTAACTCCCCATCACCATCCTTTGGCCAGTCTCCCAGCCCTACCTTCATTCCCCGCTCCGCTCAGCCCATCACCTTCACTACCGCCTCCTTCGCTGCCACCAAATTTGGCTCCACTAAGATGAAGAAGGGTGGTGGGGCAGCAAGTGGTGGAGGTGTAGCCAGCAGTGGGGCAGGTGGCCAGCAGCCACCACAGCAGCCTCGCATGGCCCGTTCACCCACCAACAGCCTGCTGAAGCACAAGAGCCTCTCTCTGTCTATGCATTCACTGAACTTCATCACGGCCAACCCAGCGCCTCAGTCCCAGCTCTCGCCCAATGCCAAGGAGTTCGTGTACAACGGTGGTGGCTCGCCCAGCCTCTTCTTCGATGCGGCCGATGGCCAGGGCAGTGGCACCCCAGGCCCGTTTGGAGGCAGTGGGGCTGGCACCTGCAACAGCAGCAGCTTTGACATGGCCCAGGTATTTGGAGGTGGTGCCAACAGCCTCTTCCTGGAGAAGACACCCTTTGTGGAAGGCCTCAGCTACAACCTGAACACCATGCAGTATCCCAGCCAGCCGTTCCAGCCCGTGGTGCTGGCCAACTGACCGTCTACCTGCCTGTGGGGCCAGAAGCACCCAAGACCACAGAAAAGAGAAAGAAAAGGCCAAAAAAAAGAGGAAAAGAAAAATGTACAAAAAGATTTTTGATCTTCTCACTCTCACTTCTAGAAAAAAGATCCAGCCCAGGCACGGAATGGGAGGGCCCCGCAAAGCACCCAAGTGTGTTTCACTCACCCCTTACCGCTCACCCACCGGCCTGTGATTTATTTGGTTGGTTTGGGTTTTATATTTCTTTTTCTTTTTTTTTTCTTACATGTAGTTTTCTATATAACATCTTTAATGAGTGGCTTCCTGTGCTAAGAATGGTCCAGATGTGAACTGCTGCTCCCTGCTCCTCCCTTCCTCCTTCACACTCCTAGTTTAGGATTGGTGTGTCCAAGCTCACAGGGAAGAAAGAGCTGCAGCTGGAGCCTGACCCTCCCTGGAACAGGGAAAGGCTGGCCCGTGTCACTGCCTCTGTCACCCAGCTATCCTCGCACTCAAAGCCATCCAACCTCAGCAGGCCTTCTTGGGCCCTGCCACCTGAATAGGTCTGACCCCATTCCCCACTCCCTTTCAGGCTGGGCCACAGGGAGCTGCTGGCTGGCCACTTGACACCCTCTGCCTAGAGCTGATGTCTGTGACTACAAGGAGATTAGCACTTCGTCTAGTGAAACTCCTTTCATCTCTGTCCTATGGCCCCACCCCACCATTCCCTCCAGGCCAGACCATCATCATATGTGTGGCCTTCCTTTCCCTCATGCAGCCCCTTCCCCAGGCTGGAGGTTGTGGGAGGGGTGTGTGTGTGTGTGTGTGTGTGTGTGTGTGTGTGTGTGTGTGTGTTTGGTTTGCTGTCCTTTTTTAAAGGATTCCAAGCCATGTGAAACTTCCCTTCTGGATGTGATTCTGGGTTGCAGCAAATGCTTATTTATATGTGAGGCTGGGGAATGGGCTGGGGGTATTGGCAGTCCTTTTGCAGGGCAGTGTGCGTGGTGGGGTGACACCACTGTGGCTGAGCCCAAGACACTCCCAGAGGAAAACACTGCAGAAGGAACTGGTTTGCAGACCGCAGAAGGATCTGCACTTTTGTTTTTGACCAAAAAGATGATAATGTTAGCTCTGAAGGGCAGAGGGAATGCCCAAGCCCATGATGCCTATGAGAAGCCCCCGGACTTCACCCTCCTGTTGTGTGACCTTAGCCCAGCGGGAGCTGCTCACCTGAGTACCCTTGGGGGTGGGCAGGGAGGCAGGGTGGGGTTTTAGAGTTAGTGTCTGTTGGGGGGGCAGCCCTGAGCCTGGAGTGGAGACTTTGCATCTCTTAGTTGGGGGTGTTGAGTGCATTTGTGCCCCGGCCTGGTTGAGAGCTTCTCGGTACCTCTTGCCACCCCTTCTCACTGCCCTGACCCAACCCCATTGGACCTTGATGCTGCGAAGAGTGGTGTCCTGACAGGGACTCAGTGCTCCTGCCTGATGTATTGGATTATAGGAGAGCGCTTGCTCTCCTGCCTCTGCAGGAGAGGGCTTGTTCCTCCAACCCTAGGAGGCCAGGCAAGCATGAACAGGAGCCGAGGGATCAGGGTCATGAACTTTTTCCTCTTTGCAAAGAGGGGCACTTGGCATCAGGGTCCCATCGCCAGAAAGCACCAAAGCCCCTGGCACCCCACCCACTCCATCCTACCCAGGGATCCCAAGTAGGCAACTGGCTATGGCAGTGGGTCCAGCCCAGGCCAGCACTGCCAGCCTCCTCTCCCTGCAGTATGCACCAGCTCTACCTCCCCCGGCAGGCAATGTCCTGGCTTCTCAGCCCAGCACCATCTGTTCCCCTAGACTTCTCAGGGGCCAGCCCAGTCTAGGCCATCCTTCCCCTCATCCTCGGCTCCCACACAGGTGACAGGCCCAACAGATAACTTCTCTCTGGGAAAGGTTGGATGCTGCCTTACGTCCCCTTCTAGCCCTCCTCCCATCGCCACACACAGGCACCCACCCGCACCAGGTCAGCTTGTTTCTCACATGTAGGGAGAGAGGGGAGACCAACCCCTTTGTGTCTTTTGAAATACGAAGAAAAATGTGTGTTCAGGCGCTCTTGGGCCCAGTTCAGTCCGTCTTGTCTCAAATCTAGGCATTTTTGCTTCAATTTTATTTTTTTTAAGAAAACAAAAACAGAAATCTGCACTAATTTACCTGGTTTCGTAGGAAAACTTTTTTTTATTTTTTACATTTTTTGGTGTCCGTTTGTATTGAATAATTTGCTACATTTGTAAAATGTAAGAGGTATATATAATATATGTATATTTCTAACGTAAAACACAATTTTTTTCTTTTCAAGATTTTTTCTTAAGATGAGAGAAACATATTTTTTCAGGAAAAACAAACTTTAAAAAAAAGAGGAGAATAAAACCTTTTCTCCCCTTTCCCCATCCTCTATCCCTCTTTCCCAGGAACAAATCAAAAGGTGGATTATCTTGTGAAGAATGGAAACCGTTAGTCCAGAATGATGTCTTTTTCTCAATGCAGTGAGTTATAGATTCTCTAGTTTTCTCCCTAGGGATGGGAAGGGGGCATTGAGGCAAGCCTGGAGAGGAGCCCGGGGAGCAGGGTCATGAACTTTTTTCTTTAGTGAAGGAGGAATACAATCAAGGGTTTTGTATTCAGAATGTTGTGCAATATTTTGGAATGGGACATTGGTGTGTTTAGAGATTTTAGTTTAAAAACAAAACAAAAAGATTGATCAAATCTGTACAGTTTCTATTGTTCCAGATTTTTTAAGTTTGTATTAAAAGCATGATATATAACAGCCTTCTGCCTGCTCCTAGCTTGCTTGGTTTCTGGGGTCCCTTTTCGGATGGAGAGAATGGGAGTGGCCCAGCCCTTACAGACTCCAAGAAATGATTGGTCCTCCTTACAGTGACAGCCTCCGATGGACATAACTGTCCTGGTGCCCCTTCTTGACCAGCTGTCCATCCCATCAACACAGGATACTACATTGTGCCTGCTACCCTAGATGCTTTTCTACACTGGAAACAGGTTCCACAAAGTTAGGAACCGCTCCAGTTCCCTTAGCCAGTTGGTAGTGGCACCAGGGCTGGGAGCAGAGCCTGGAGAACGGGGTCCTTCTTCATGACTCTTTAGGAATTGCCTATTCCTGTGGGGAGGAGAGAGGGAGCAGCCTCCAGCCTGCTCTAGATCTAGTACTTGATCCTTAGTACTAGATCCTTAGATGTGGGCAAGGATGAGAACAGCTCACCTAAGCCAGGTTCCATCCAAAACCCTGGTGCTTAGATTCTCAGCCCTTTTCTGGGGCTGGACAATTCTGGAGCTGCTTTAAGAGTAAGACAGCCCAGCTCAGAGAAGGCCACCCTTCTGGCAGTGGCCGATTTCCTTAGGAGCTCTGCCATCTCCCAGTGCCCCAGGCCATATTTTCCCCTTCCCAGGGCCTGTGCCCATCAATGCTGCCCATCTAGGAGAGAAACAAAATCTATACCATCTCCCACCAGCGTGTACTTCATGTCAGAAACTGGCAAGGCCCCTGGGCTGAAGTGAGCTCAGAATATTTGTGAAGTTATTATTATTTTTTTTAACAGTCATCTTTTATTTGGAGGTTAATTCCCATCAGGATATGAAAGGATTCAGCAACAATCAAGATTGTGTTCCTCACAGAAGGGCTCGGGCCAAGGTCATAGGGTGGGGGGATGCAGAGCGTGTCCTCTTCAGTAGTATTTGCGTAGCCGCTCATGCTTGAGGTGCTTGTAGGAAAGGCAGTAGCTGAAGAGCACATAGCATGCCAGCACCATGGTAACCCCTGAGATGCTCCCTTTCCTCACGTCAATGTACTTGTTGTAGTACCAGTAGTAACCTCTTTGAAACGCTCTGAAAATGCCACTAGGGCTGAAGTCCCGCATCAAGATCCAGCTTGGCAGCTCCCCTAGTTTGACCTCCAGAAGTTTCTTGTTCTTCACTGATACGACTGACGCCATCTTGGAGTCCTGGTGTCCGCTGTGCCGGGCCGCGCCGAAGTTAGTTAGTGTTATTCCATTTTGTTTTTTAATTGGACAGGGTCTTGAACTCCTGGGCTCAAGCAATCCTCCCACCTCGGCCTCCCTCTCAAAGTGCTGGGATTACGGACATGAGCCACCTTTCCTCATCCTGTTGAATTTTCACAGGGATTGTTCATCCTCACAGGGTTTCTCTTCATTTTGCAGTTAAGAAATAGGCTGGGTGCGGTGGTTCACATCTGTAATCCCAGCACTTTGGGGGCCGAGGCAGGTGGATCATTTGAGGTCAGGAGTTTGAGAACAGCCTGGCCAACATGACAAAACTCGTCTCTATTTAAAAAATACAAAAATTAGCCGGGTGTGGTGCCGAGCACCTGTAATCCCAGCTACTTGGGAGGCTGAGGCACTAGAATCTCTTGAAACAGGGAGGCGGAGGTTGCAGTGAGTTGAGATCGCGCCATTGCACTCCAGCCTGGGTGACAGAGCAAGATTCCGTCTCGAAGAAACAAAAAAGAAATAGGCTCCAACTTAGATTACCTTAGATTCACAAAACTAGTAAGTGGTAAAGATTTTGACTCGTGTCTGATTTTTTCATTTGTTGATCCAAGTGCTACTGGGCAGTGTCAGTTTTTGTCCACTGGAGACAGTGTCTGCCCTCCCAGAGTTGATGTCTCACATGCATTTGATACAATTATTACTGCTATAGAAGAGTGATACGGGTTAAGGGTGGCAGGGGATGACCTTGCCACCTCTACTGCCACGCCACCACTGGGATGGGGTAGGGGGCAAACAGTTTTGGGGTATCAGTGGGGTACGGGGCCTCCTCAGTCCCCTCACTCTGGCAACAGGCAACACTGAGCGCTCCCCAACCAAGTTGGTGAACTAGAAGCTCCCAGGACAAACATCCAACCTCTGGACAGGTCGCAGGAGGCCTGACGTCCAGCCCCTCCATGGGCCACTTCCCCTCTGCAGGGCCTATTGAGGGGAGGGAGGTCCCCATCCAGGATAATGAGGCCCTGGCCTACCAGACACAGGGGCATTTGCAGGGGTTTCACTTTCTTCCATCCTGCCAGGCCAGGGAGAAGCCCACCTTGTCCCTGTATCCCTGTGTATAAGCTGACCACCCAGCCTTGGGCCCCACGGCAGGGGCAGGATGGCCCTCACCTGCTCATTCCTGTTTCATGTAGACACAGGTCCTGACGTGGCAGCTGCCTGCTCCCACTCCCTGTCATGCCATCAGTGGAAGGTCCTGGGCGAGACCCAGCTCAGAAGCCTGACTCACCTTCCTGGCCCGGCCCATCCCTCTGAAGGTATAGATACTATGGATTTGGGGGGGAAAAAAAAATTCTCCATGGCATAGACAGAAATCACTCATTCAGACATTCATGCCTTTGTTTATTCAGCAAACACTCACTGGCTCTGAAGAGGTGGAGGGGGAGACTTGGAGGGGTAAAGGGCTGCAGGGGCCCCAGCCCTGCAGCAGGGGAAGAAAGAATATTCTAGTAGACTCAGTTCCTCTGAAAAAGGCTAATTTATTCCTTTGACAAACTATCTACAGGCATCCACTCTCTGCCCTGGGAACACAGGTGTGCCACCACACCAGGCTAATTTTTGTACTTTTTTTTTTTTTTGAGATGATGTCTTGCACTGTTGCCCGGGCTGGAGTGCAGTGATGCAATCTTGGCTCACTGCAACCTCCGCCTCCCGAGTTCAAGCGATTATCTTGCCTCAGCCTCCCCAGTAACTGGGATTACAGGCGCGTGCCATCACGCCCAACTAATGTTTTGTGTTTTTAGTAGAGATGGGTTTTACTGTGTTAGCCAAGATGGTCTTGAACTCCTGACCTCGTGATTCACCCGCCTCAGCCTCCCAAAGTGCTAGGATTACAAGCATGAGCCACCGCGCCTGGCCAATTTTTGTACTTTTAGTAGAGACAGGGTTTCACCATGTTGGCCAGGCTGGTCTCAAACTCCTGACCTCAGGTGATCCGCCCGCCTCGGCCTCCCAAAGAGCTGGGATTACAAGTGTAAGCCACCATGCCCGGCCAATTCTCTGCATTTTTAATTTGGGGGATTTCACTATCAGAGAGAAGTGGGTTCTAGGTCCTTGAAGCTGCCAATTCACTGTGTAACTTTGAACCCCTCTTGACATCTGTCCCATTTGTACAACAGGGGAGTGGGGCTAGGCCCCTGGCCAGCTAGGCCATTTAGGATGGTCCCTGTGCCTGCACCTCTTCTTGCCCCACTGGCTCCTGAGCCCTAGGAAGGGCCCTAGAAGGACCCTGTATGGTGGCACTTTTCCCAAAGACGTGAGGAAATAATGATGGGTTGAGCCCTGGGCAGAACCATATACCATCAGGTGAGACCCCTCAACCCAAGACACAAGAACCTAGTCAAACTACTGCTGGGCTGTGGCAGGGCTGGGAAATTCAGACAGGAGAAGAGTCTTGGCCCAGAGGCCCAGACATCTGGGTTCTTTTTCTAGCTCTGCCCTGATTCACTATATTCCTTTTTTTTTTTTCCTTTTTTTTTTTTTTTTTTTTTTGAGACAGGGTCCTCCTCTGTCACTCAGGCTGGAGTGCAGTGACAGGATCATGACTCACTGCAGTCGTGACCTCCCAGGCTCAAGCAATCCTCCTGCCTCCGTCTCCCGAGTAGCTAGGATTACAGGTGTAAGCCATGACACCCAGTTAATTTTTTACTTTTAATTTTTTGTAGAGACAGGGTCTTACTATGTTGCCCAGATTCGTCTCAAATTCCTGGGCTCAAGTGATCCTCATGCCTCCTAAAGTGCTGAGATTTCAGGTATAAGCCACCTCGCCCAGCCTGATTCACTACACTATTTTTATTTTTATTTGAGATGGAGTCTTGCTCTGTCACCCAGGCTAGAGTGCAGTGGCGTAATCTTGGCTCATCGCAACCTCCGCCTCCTGAGTAGCTGGGATTATAGGTACATGCGACCATGTCTGGCTAATTTTTGTATTTTCAGTAGAGACAGGGTTTCACCATATTGGCCAGGTTGGTCTAGAACTCCTGACCTCAAGTGATCTGCCTGCCTCAGTCTCCCAAAGTGCTGGGATTACAGTCATGAGCCACCACGCCCGGCCTGATTCATTATATTAAACATTCAATATTCAGCTGAGGCGATGGCTCACGCTTGTAATCCTAGCACTTTGAGAGGTGAAGGCAGAAAGATTGCTTGAGCCCAGGAGTTCAAGACCATCCTGGGGAACATGGTGAGTCTCCCATGTCTCTACAAAAAATAAAAAAATTAGCCAGCCATGGTGGCATATGCCTGCAGTCCCAGCTACTCAGGAGGCTGAGGTGGGAGGATGACTTGAGCCCAAGAGGTCAAGGAAGAAGCGAGATGTGATCATGCCACTGCACTCCAGCCTGGGCAACAGCGTGAAACCCTGTCTCAAAAAACCTCCAAAATTCCACATTAAATATGGGACCCCCATAAACACTGGACACTGTGCTAGGCATGAGGAAATAAGGGGCAACTGCAGACAAAATCCTTGCTCTCCTGAAGCAATGTTCTATTAACTGAAAACAAACAATGAGAAAATGGCAGACGGTAAGATAATCACGACCAGTGACAGTGGCTAGTGACAAAATGGACACTTATATTAGGTGGACAAGACAAAGCAGGTCTTCCCAAGGAGGGGGCTTTCAACCCGTGAGCTGAAGCATACGATTCCTTGTCACATGCTTAACAGGGAGAAGAGCAGCAGGACCAGACACTTCCAAGGGCAAGAGGCAGGAACAGGATGGTGGGTTCAGGGAAGAAAAGGCCAGCAACAACAGGCAAGTGGTGCAGATGAGGTCGAAGGGGGTCCCAGGCCATAGCATGGGCCCTGCCTGAAGCCTGGATGAGAAGCTGGGATTTTCTCTTCAATATGCACTAAATTTCTTGCCCCATGGTTGCATTATCTGTAGCTGGGGCAGAGACAAGAAGAGAGCTTTCTTGGCCGGGCGTGGTGGCTCACACCTGTAATCCCAGCACTCTGGGAGGCTCAGGTGGACGGATCACCTGAGGTCAGGAGTTCGAGACCAGCCTGTCCAACATGATGAAACCTCGTCTCTACTAAAAATACAAAAAATTTCCTGGGTGTGGTGGCACGCCCCTGTAGTCTCAGCTACTTGGGAGGCTGAGGCAGAAGAATCACATGAACCCGGGAGACAGAGGTTGCAGTGAGCTGAGATCACACCATTGCACTCCAGAATGGTGACAGAGACTCCATCTCAAAAAAAAGAAAAAAAGAGAGCACTTTCTCTCACATATTCAACTGCAAACCCTCTTGGAACCCTCCTTTATGGCAGGCCCAGAGCAAGGACCACTGCAGGAGCAGACCCAGGCCCCTCCCTTGGAGGGACCTTCTACTGGTGGAAGAGCTGGGAGAAGACAAATCCAGGTCTCATGACTTCAACACCACATCAGGTCCACAGCAGGAGGAGGCCCAGGAGCTCTATGCACCCAGAGGAGGCTCCCACGTGGCCCTGGAACGCTTTTCAGAGGGTTGACAGAAGCTAGTAGGTGAAGAATTTGAAGAAAGGGGAACAGCACTTATGCCAAGTGCTTCAGGGTGAGTTGCAGGGTAACATGACACCTGGACTTGGCATTGAGGGGGCCTTAGGGAGTCTGTGGAGAGGGGAAGGGGAGTGAGACTAAGGGGCACAGGAGTGAAGGGTGAAGTCAAGGGCACAGCAAGTGTAACTGACTCTTTCAACAAACCACAGAGGTTTCCAGAAGGCAGAAATGTAAAACCCCTCACAAAGTGCTGAGATTACAGGCTTGAGCCATCGCACCCCGCCTAAAACCACAATGAACATAACTATTAAAACAGCTAAAATGAAAGAGACTGTCCACAGCAAATGCTGGTGAAGATGTGCAGGAATTAGTAACTTTATATACTGCTCATGGGAATGAAAAATGGTACAACCATTTTGGAAGATAATTTGGAAGGGAAGCTTTTTTTTTTTTTTTTTTTTTAAACACAGAG